TGAGCTGAGCTTTTACTACAATACGTCATTAAGATGATACCGATTAAAAGAAGTGTGTTTACCTGAAAACATAGAGAGCTTTTCGCACTGATCTTTCTCGACCAGGGCACGCCATCGTTGTTATGATCACAACGGGTAGTCGTATTTGGTCGTTGTTGGGAGAGGGACTGCCAAAGATCTATACAACTACTATTTCCGATAGTTGAAAATGATAGTTAAATCCTGACGACCTCCCTCCCCTCCCCCGCTCGACAGCAAAATTTTGGGAAAAACTAGAAATTTTTCGGGAAATGTTGGAAAAACTGGAAAGAGTGGTGGGAAGTTGGGAAAATCTAGGAAAGTGGTAGGTAGCATGGGGAGGGGGGTCGTATTTGAGGATGGAAATAGGGGGTCGTATTTTTCAGGAAATGATCACAACGCGATGGCGTGCCCTGTTCTCGACAGCACTACAATAAGGTGGACCTCTTTGGGGCAAAGCATGCAACCCATTTGGAAACACGATTTTTACTCAAGGAATGGGTCCTTCCTATAGGAGTGTCATCACCTGCCCAGACTTAGATTGCGATTTTTTGGGGACAACGAACCCTCATAGTCCCAAGATGTTCACAGTCGTTTCCTATACTGCATTACACCTTCCTATAATGAATGCCCCACTGTAGTGAAATGGCTTTTTTCTGGGATCTCGGAAGTACTAAGCACCAGCTCCCGCGAGCGGCATCGGTGCCTCTGATTGCGCGACTACAACCGTGAGCGACCACCACTCATTGACGGACCGCTGCAACGGTCAAAAAAAATGCTTTCCTGAATGTGATCAAGAGAAGTCTAGCCCTGATTGCATCTGCTATACTCCCTATATTCGAATGGGATCCCCACTGACGCTGCCCGCGCCGGTGACACCCTCTTCTGTTCTCAATGTTCTGCATCCCCATTGTTAATTCGTCCTCCAGTGCATGTACATTTTCAGTTGCACCCACATAAAAGTCAACAGTCAAAGAGGACATGATGGTTTCCTGATTAATATTCCAGGCCTGGACATAGCTCAATATAGGTCAACAGTCTAGTGCCGATTACTGCGTTGAGGACATCTCACGTCCAGGACTTCCTCGTGTGGTGTGAAGGGTAGGGAAAAGCATCCGAGGATGATGGACCCAGAGTTCAGTGAAAAGGAGTTGTATAGGAGAGTTTCGTCCCAGGCCGAAGCCTCTCCCCAGAACTGGGGTGGCAAGTCGAAGTAGGATTAACAAAGTCGAAGAAAGTTTGAAAAGATGTACACGTCATAAACAGCAAGCGAATGGACGTCACGTTGAAATCATATTGATAATTGTCCTTCATCCTAGTACATCCGCTGAGCGGCCTTCATAACCGTCTGTTGATGGCTCTTACCGGGTGTATGTCGTTTGGCGCGATTCTTTTGTCGTCTACGCGTCAGAACATGTCAGACAAACCGACTTCTAGGGGAAACAACTCGCCATAACCTCCAAACTAGTGTATATCCCCGAGTGATCATTAGAAGAAAAACTGTTTGAATAATGAGCACTATAGCCAAAAACAGGAGGGCTTTGATAAGGCTACAAATTGTGCGCCTATCGATTGCGGATGATGGGGTGTGTCAAAGGTGGATAAGTTTGGCGTAGTCCCAACCCGTACTTTTTTAGTTTTTTCTTCCGGCGAGCGACAAGACGGTATCACATCGTTTATATCTGTTTTCCACAAGTTGTTTGACTCAATTACCCACTTTAAAAAACTGATGAAAATGGTGGTGACGGTGCGTGATAAATGCAAATCGCGAGCCCCGCGGCAGCCGCGTTTCCTAACAATAATTGCCGGTTCAGAGCAGGAAACGTGGGCTCTCAACCACCCACACTCCCCATCTATTGTCGCGATATAAAGTGTACTTCGCAAGTAGCGACACCCTCGTCACTGCCGTGTCATGAGACGTCATGCGACGTTGCGGCATGACCTGACATGAGCAGTCAGTGTCGCTGAAGTCAGTCGGGGCGTTTCTGCGACGCATGGGTCTTGGCGCGGTGCCAGCCCATTTTGCATCGATCGTTGCGGCTTCGAGTGTTCAGTGAACAGTAGGGAAGGAGCTGGCGCCGCTGGCAGGTCATTATTTCAGTGAAACCGCCGAGCTATAATGGGCTAGCTAAAACGGATGTGCAAAAGACTGGAAGAATTGTTTAATTATGAATGTCGAGCCTTCTGAGGCTTTTCAAAAGAGTATATGGGCCTTTGTAAACCTCTGAGATATCAATGAGACTTTGAGACAACATGAATCAGTTCTTGAACTATCTCCTATAGCCGAGAAAAGCCTGCTCAGCAGTCACAATTCCAGTTTAGCACTGAGTTTCAGGAATTATTCCGAACATACCCCAATGTGAGAACCTGTCCCCTTCGCAGTATTAAAGTACAACCTACAGTTGAGGCAATAGAAAGTAATAGCATTGTAGTCACTGCTCTTCTTGGGACATGTAATGGAAATGGCCTGACAGACATACTTCATAACATCATGACTGATATTTTTCTAAAGATTCACGTAAACAAAATTGATGATCATTCAAGGGTGTACATAGGGCCTGTGGCTGTGCTTATTCATTGCGTATCGACGAGTAAAAAACGCACGAAGCAGTCTGCGGACCGGAATCCTCTGATGCGTTGCCCCGGAACTTGTTGGACGTAAGGAGGACGAGAAATGTATGCGTGTTGTGACCAGGGTACAGCGCCGTGATGTGCGAAATGGTGGTGTCAGTACGACCCTCTCCCCTTCCCGAGCACCTACAACTACCTATCTCTCACGTATTATTTCCAAGGTTTCACCCAAGAAGAAGCGGGGGGGAAAGTATATATAAGTACACAGTGAACCAGGAAAATCACGAAATTCACACGCGCGGAAAGATTTTCCCACGGTGGCGGAATCCCCTCCAGTCCACATACGACCTCCCCCCTCCCAACAACAACCAAATACGACCCCCCCTCATGTGTTTCACACAACGATGCTGTACCCTGGTTGTGACCATCATTGCGACATCTCAGGGCCAGATACGACCCCCATAGATCAAGCACGTCTCTCCAACTGTGAAGTACGACTCCCCAATGAAGTTCTCTGTGAACGATGCTGACCCTGTGCAGGAATCGCCAGCACGCTCAACTAAGGATTAGGTGGGAATTTATTGATTCTGCCTATTGACGAAGTTATGCGAGCGTTCTTCGGGTGTTCTCAGATCTCGCACACTCACCAGATCGATTCGTATAGTTTCTTTGCGCGTATTCTCCCATGGCGAATTCACCACATTCTTAAAGTATGAACACCTCGTCATTGGAACGCCAGTCTGAGCTACATTCTGGATATGGAAGAGGACTTCTAAAAAACAGAACTAGGCGTGGCCCTTGATATTCGGCGAGGTCACGCCTGAAGAGCCTAATCTAGTACCTGAAGGCTTACTCACAAGTAATTATTATATCTAAGGTCTCATCTACCGCTCAGGTCATGAAAGGATGTGTCGATAGTCTCATGAATACCAGAACAGATTCTACAATTAATTAGCACTAAAGGGTCCCAGTGGGGTTTTGGCACTATTCCCACTATTACAACTCCAATAAACCAAAAACTCAAGGATTTGTCTGCTGAAACTTTGTTCACACTGATTATTCAGTGCCCTGATTACGAATATGATGTTCATTTAGAGGCTGGCGCCATTTGGCGCTGGTAGACGACACATTTTTGTGGTACCGGTACCAACGCTGAACAGGTTTCGATTTTGGTGAAAGAGGTGGGTGCGCCAAATGGCGCCAGCGCCAAAAATGGCTCCCATATCCGTGATCAGCAAACCGGAAAACATTTACAGACGTAGTTCCTGTGAATTTTATTGAGCTTCTGAAGTAGTAATAGTGGAATAACATTTTTTCGAAAACTGATCACCGCTGTAGCCATACAGATGGAAAATGACTAAATGAATAAGTTTAACTTGTTGTGTGCCTTACGAGGCTGTTGATATTATCCAGGATGGTTTAACGTTTGTAATGAATCGCACCTCCAGAGGCCTGAACATGTTTCTAGGGTTGGGTTACACCTCCACCCCACGAAGCGCTTGACAACTATAGCGGTTCCGACACCGTGTCAGGAACACTCGAAACATATATAAATGTTTATAAACACTAACTGCGCAGTTTTCTTCGGAATCCATTGAGACTTTGTGAAGTTATTATTTCGAAGCTAAATGTTCATGTGGCTAGGTGAGCTTCCAGCTTATTACAAGGGTGTGTGCACGGCTTATCACAGGTGAATTTTCATCAGTTTCTCCACAGGTTCACATTCGCATAATCGATTAGCCGAACGAGTTTTACCGCACCTACACCGCGACGCGGAGGTGGACCGCGTCACGGCTGGATAGCCGAATGGTATTCATCGTGTTCACCTGATAAAACAACACTACCCACCTTCGTTTGTGCTAACATGATACCAGTTTTCGGAGGAGGAAATCGGTCGAGATCAGTTCTACCCAACCCCCACAGTTTCTCCTTTCAACTCCCAGAGATTCAAATTTCGAGTATTGAGAGAGCTTGAATGCCTCCCCCTTCATGGGAACAGCCGATAGGTATTCTCGTAAAGGGAGGGGGCATTCAAACTGTGAGAACAGGGACCCCTTGCCTGCGCCAAGCGCACTTACCTGTTAAGTACCAGAACCTGCCTGTTCCTATCACTATCACTATCGTGGAAGATCATGTGCACGGGTTCCACGTGTCAGTCGATTGGGCAGCATAAATTGCAAGAATACACACCTGACAAAAAAAGCCCACTGATGGAAATTTCTAATTTTTCACTTTATATAACCCTTCATTGCTTTTCACATAACACAAGTACAACGAAAGTGCTTCATTATCATTATCATTACCAACTCACACAGTCATTCACAATTAGAAACAAAGGGGGAAGCAGTAATTAGTAGAGAAAAATCGGTTAGAGATCGCGGCAGCAGAATGTTGTATCTAGGTCCATTAACTTATGCCCTCTCTCCACGAATACGGCGAGCGAGCTGGATATCCTTAGGCATGATTGTTACACGCTTGGCGTGGATTGCACACAAGTTTGTGTCTTCAAACAGACCAACGAGGTAGGCTTCCGAAGCTTCCTGAAAAAAAACTCTTCTAGAGCAAGTTGTGGGCCTTTGGAGACAACTGTTTGGAAATGTTCACGAAACTGGTGTCGCATTTCTGACGAGCGAACTACGCCAAGCCAAATCTGTAAACTGTACAAACTTTTATCCCCCCCTGCTCCGAAAAGTTTACAGATTGGGAAATCTTTCCCACCAGGCAAATGAGTTCCTGATTGGAAGTGTAAGGGGAAGAATTACTATGGTGAGACATCAATCGCTGACCAGTCATGATTCCTTGCTTTGATCATTCTTTTAATCCCAATGAAAGACCCCTCTCGATGGTATTCCACCAATCCGCTAGTGATTGACCAAACTTGAGTTAAGTCAGCTATCACTCACCTGTAGGGCACCAATAGCAGCGGATTGGAAACGAAGATCGGTCTTGAAATCCTGTGCGATTTCACGAACAAGACGCTGGAAAACTGTTGAAGACTACGCCGTGTCAATCGCATCATTGAACCCGTTTTTCTGATGTAAAGTTAACCCCAATAAGAAAACCAGAAGATAGAGACATGAAAAAGAACGGAGCAGTACGCGTACTGTACGGGGATATGGATGTACGGGTATAAGTAGTAGCGTCACTCGAGCGGGAGTCACGCGCTTGGCCGAGTGCCAACTCGGAATGACGCCCCCACAACAACGAAATCGCTGCAGGACGCGTTATCGATCCGCCGCACCCTTGATGACGTCACAGTCCTGTTTACCACCCAAGTAGAACAACAAAAGGGCATGAGTTAAGTATATGGATCATAGAGCGAAAACTGTTTCTTGGAATGATGGAGTACACGAAAATTGGAAATTTAAGCCTTTATAAAGACTAAATCCGATTGTGGGGATATATGATAACTCAGCTGTGAGAAGCAGCGGCACGGCGCCCACCATGGAAACAGGAGTTAAAGTGATGTCGCTTTTTATATCGGGGTTAGTAGAGCCAGTTCCTAGCAGAAAACACTGAAACTGTTGTGGATGTTCTAATCGATAACGGTATAAGATCCAATCCTACAGCAGTGCTTAGAACAGAGTCCTAAACTATCCTAAAGCGCCCGGGTAACGGAAATTAGCGAAATTACGATGTTAGGGTAGAACTGGACACAACCCCCCATAGAGGTATCACCTCCACTAACGGATTTGCTGGAAAAACTCTAGGAGAACATCGCAAGTCAGAATTTCGGATTTTGGCGCAGGTCAGGCATTCTCCGTGGGGCGCGCAGAACAACTAGTCAATAAACTGTCGCGCCACCCCCTGTTTGCCTGCGCCTATACAAAACACATACTGTTTCTGACACTCTCGCCGTCGTCGCCCCGCCCCACCTGCGATATTTTTGCTAGATGACGACCGTCTAGCGATTGTCATCATGTACCAAGTGCAATTTCTCATTTTATCTTTCTTATCTTCGATTTCTTTTGATAACAAGCGTATGATTTGCATACAGGCTAGGCTAAAGTCTCTGATAGAGTTCATCTTCAGCATACATGGCCCCTCCAGCTGGAAGTGCGGTTGTGGCGCCTCCACTAACACCACAAGGATCAACAGATGAACAATCCTTGAGGACGTATTTCAAAACGAAGATCGATGAAGCCCAGGTTGATCTTTTTTATAGATGGCTTACTGTCGAGATTCACCACTTATTACTGCCGCTTTTCTCTCTCTCTTAGAGTGATAGCTGAATTAGGACCCATCTATTAAGCCAATTGTTCAGCTCTTCTAATTTCTTGACATTAAGGTCCTGTGGTGTTGAGAATTCAGATATAGCTCGCACTGCTGAAATAAAGAAAGGCTAAAGTTTCCAATTCCCATTAATTTGCTATCTACCAATGAAGCAAGTGTCTTGTTTTACTAGTGTAAAATCAGCGCTGTACATAAAAAAAGCTGTCTAAACTGGACGATATCCACCTCTACGACCCCCCCCCCACCCCTTGTTCTCTTCCAAAAAAGAGGAAATGGCGATGTGGATAAATAATGTACAGGATAGAGCATCGGGATAGGTGGCGCGATAGTACACCTGCCCCCGAATTTCCTAGTTCAGTAGGACCCGCTCCCACTGCTCAAATAGTAATAAAGACGTCTTTTCCACCGTTGGTCGATCCCCTTCTGGAATTGGCACGCATTTTACTTCCTTCCATTTTACTTAGTGGCTTGGCTTGCTGTATGCATACGGTCTATGATATGAATTTTGGGGGCCGGCCGTTGTACAAGTCAGTGTTTTATCCGTCCAGAAGAATCCGGTACCAACTTACCGTCCTTGAGGGTGAAAAGCTTGGTTGATCTAGGTGGTAGCCGATCCGTTATTTGACCCGTGGACCGTGCGCGCGGTAAGTATGCCTTTGCCACTACACCGCCTCCGCGTCAGCTTGAATACCATCTCGAATTTTCCCAAAATTCTGCCAGCACTTGGGGATGGGGGCCTACGACTAACCATCACAAACAGTAGTTTTTTCGAGCCGCCCGTAGGTAGTGCGCTCGAGAGAGAGAAAACCAACAATCAGAAAGATCTGTCTTAAGGTTGAAGACGACCCTGCTAGTGGGTTTAGCGATGTACATTGATGCCACCGCATTTTGGGACCGAAAATTTATCGCAACTGACCCTTGGACTTGTCTTCGTGGTTCCCTCATCTTGACCCTTCCACATACTAAATACAAGTAAACCACTTCTATGGAACAGCATATATGTTGCTTCCTGTTATTTCGCATGTTAGTTTTGTCACATCTGGTCCGTAGGAGTTCAGAAGCTAGCTGAACATTGACTTCTCGGCGTAAGTATGCTATGAGTCTGTCGCCCGCGGTAGGCATTCGCAAAACATTTCACAGTGGAATTCAAGGTCACATTCAGTTGGGATTTTTCTAAATGCAGCGCTCATGATTTAGGTAATTTTAATGGATCAATTTTGTTGGGCTTCATTTGTAGAAAGTGTGACGGGGCATGGTATCGGTTGGAGAAATAGTAAACTGCTTGGGTGTACCTCTTAATAACGAAGGTCATGCCTAAGGTGTCTAATGTTGTGCTTAATAACTGGCGGTGTTATTCACATATTATCGCTATATCCAGGGGTTAAACAAATAGCCTCTTTGGGACACGGCACGAATTCTGCTGATTCAGAATAGCGATGGTTTGTCAAATACTATATAGCCTACGCGACCTTTTCAAATCTATTCTCGCCGCTAGTCAAAACCTTTCTTGGTGGAGTCCTCTTGGAGGCGGATTTGGTGTGGAGTGTCAACCTTATCCAGCGCGCGTATCGGAGATCAACTCTAGGGTCGGCTCTGGCTTAGACCAACCAGGCTCTTCATCTCTCGGATAATAATGAAAAGTACCAGACTCTGGGGAGAATGAAAATCGACACGTTTTTAGTTGTCAGTGAGCGAACGCATTAGTTCTAATGGCATTTAAAAAATAGTTACATTAGAAACAGCCTTTTGCTGAGTGACAGTGGGATTGAAAACTTGTTCATTCCCTTCTAATGGTCCGAGTTATTACACCGTTTCTTCCTCTTAGCTATCCCTAAATTTGGCTATACGGAATTGCGCTCAATGGTGAGTGTGTAGGTAGAGTTCTGAGCATAAATTCGGATTGTTTTCCTATGACATAAGCAGTAAGCCAGTTCAAAGTAGGATAAAGTTTCATGACAGTCGATCCCCACATTTCCCACGATGCTGCCCATTACATTGACAAAAAATGGAAATGCGAGGCTCGAACACATTACATCGCTCTATCTAAATCGCTCGGAATCATTATATTTGCAAGCAATAACCAGTTCTCGTTATTTTTGGCCACAAGGACGAACCAGCAGTACCGGATCGTACACTTTAATCCTAATTGAAGATAGTTAGCGCCCACATCGATAGAGATTCAGTTTGAAAAAGTGGATGTGCTTCCACGTTGCCTGAAGTGTCATGACACATCAGTTGGGCAAATTATATTTCACGATCAGGACCTTTCTGGAGTTGACTAGCATTTTTCAGCAAGTGATCTCCACCCCCTCCCCCCCTCCCCGTCACGAATCCGTTACGCGGGGAGAGAGTGGGAGGACTTTGGGGCTTAGAGGATGAAAATTTTTGTTTTTCTCGAGCGTAAAGGAATGAGCTTTGGTGAAGGTAAGGCGAACCGTCCATGCAAAACGGTTCCTCGCATTTCTTCGGAAGTATCCATCTACCTAAAGTTCATTCTCCTCTCGCTTGTCATTGATGTCATGAATGTGGTAAGTCCTAGCACACAACGATTGGATCATCAACTTATGTTGGACTGCTAGTTCTTCAACTAATTAGTATTAAGAACGAAGTCGTGACCTTGAATAAGCTAGCTTCTTCTCTTGGATCGTATTCTTTGAGCGTAATCGGTTCACGCCCTACGCTGGCGAATCCTCAGCGGGATTGGATTTGGTCGCTCGAGATAGGAGGCCGTTGTCTGAGAAAGCTTTTTTCCTGTTTCTCGCGCGCTATCCATAACATTGGGAGGTTTCCATTATAAAAGGTCGTACCAGAGTGAAATTTATGGGGAAGGGGGACTAGATTTTACAAAAAAATTTTGACGGGGCGTGTCCTGAGCGTGGTGGTTCAGAGCCTTTATTTTTATACGTAAAAACATTCACAAAAATATATTCGGCTTCAGCAACGAGTGACTGAGAAGAACCAGAATGTTCTCCGCCTCCAAGCGCAACGCAATGAGCTTAACTCAAAGGTACTTTTGCAAGGCTATACATATACATTTTTTTAATTACACTCTCGTATTTCTGTAAAAGTGGCTGTTCAGGTTCGGATGTTGAAGGAGGAATTACAGCAACTTCAGGAACAAGGTAGTTATGTCGGAGAAGTAAGCAAGGCTATGGACAAGAAGAAAGTGCTTGTAAAGGTATTTCACTAGTTCCCAATTTGTTTCCATTTCAGTACCACTCTCTTCTTTCATGAGACCCAAGCGTCTGCGATATAAGAAGAAAAAATAAAAGAAAACAAACCATAACTGGCTTCTATTCTGCGGTACAGTTTCTTACGCAGTAGCTGCTTACAGGTTCACCCAGAAGGGAAATACGTTGTGGATGTGGACAAAGGTATAGAAGTAGCGACGATCAACACCGGCTGTCGTGTTGCTCTCAGAGCTGATAGTTATGCTCTACATAAAATCTTACCAAACAAGGTGGGCTTCAGATTTTCACAAACTCTCGCTCCTGAAACACGCTTGTCTTCCTCCTTCCATATTAAGCGATCATTTTATACCTTCCCAGGTGGACCCGCTTGTTTCCCTTATGATGGTAGAAAAAGTGCCAGACTCTACCTACGAGATGATTGGTGGTCTTGACAAGCAAATAAAGGAGATCAAAGAGGTTAGTATTTTGTAAACTTAAGACTGTACTGAATGAGGAGCCACGCTGATGTCAAAGAGGTTGGTATTTTGTAAACTTAAGACTGTGCTGAATGAGTTGATGTTCGTTTTTGAAGGTGATTGAACTACCTGTAAAGCATCCCGAACTTTTCGAGGCTCTTGGTATTGCTCAACCTAAAGGTGTTCTTCTGTTTGGTCCTCCAGGAACTGGTAAAACATTGCTTGCAAGAGCTGTGGCTCATCATACAGAGTGTACGTTCATCCGTGTGTCCGGATCTGAACTCGTGCAGAAGTTCATTGGAGAAGGAGCAAGGATGGTAAGCTTTCGTGAGAAATCTTTTACTCATTTTATATGGTGCTGGTTGCGCCTGTAGCTTTGTTGGATGGTTTCTTGCAGGTGTCGCTCTGAAATGGCCCAACTTCATTCTTATAATTCTAGGTTCGCGAGCTTTTCGTGATGGCAAGAGAACACGCCCCTTCTATTATTTTCATGGATGAAATTGATTCCATTGGATCTAGTCGAGTTGAAGGATCAAGGTATGGTTTCAGGTCCATTAAGTTTATCATGTGAGACTTCAAAAAATAAATTCCATGGTGCATCACTGCGGTGCAGCGTCAAGGTTGGGAAAGAATCTGTAATTCTCGAAATTATTTGGTCGTACGACCAGTCGCAGTAGTCTCTCCCCTTCACAAAATCCCTTTTGTAGCGGTGGAGATTCGGAAGTGCAGCGTACAATGCTGGAGTTGCTGAATCAACTTGATGGATTTGAAGCTACTAAAAATATCAAAGTAACCTTTTTGTTAACCTTTTTCCCCAGTTAGTCATTATATACATTGTTCAGGTTATTATGGCCACTAACAGAATCGATATTCTTGACCCTGCGTTGCTTCGCCCCGGAAGAATTGATAGAAAGGTAACTCACTCCCATGTTGACCGGACGTTCATTTTCAAATGCCTTGCCTACTTTTCAGATAGAATTCCCTGCTCCAGATGAGAAAGCTCGTGCGGATATTCTGAAGATTCACTCCCGTAAAATGAATTTGATGCGAGGTATCAACATGAGGAAAATTGCTGAAGCGATTCCCGGTGCAAGTGGAGCCGAAGTGAAGGTGTGTCAGCATGCTTGAGTCACATATTCATGCATATTTTGGTCAGCTTTAAGCTCAAGAATCGGATTGTTGGACGATTTTATCGTTCCACCATTTGGTTCAAAACTGCAGAATCATTCTTATCCATTTTTCCGTTTCTTCCAAAACGCCCACTGAGCCGAAACGAAATAATAGATTTCTCTTTGGTCTCGTCCAGTTCTCCAACGGTGCTGCCTGTGTACACGGCTGTAGTGTCCGTGACATCATTCTTAGTCGGCCGTTTTTCCAAATTCCTAAAATTAAACTATGTATTACTAGGCTTCAGACCCTCTCACATTTGGTTGTTCTTTACCTTGGCTGTGCATGTACGCCACGTACGCCAGGGGATCTGGTGTTGACCTAACTGCTGCACCTTTAGCCGGGAGGAGCCCCAGAATTTCACCGGGTATTACTACTCCTTTGGCCTCATTTTCGCACATTTTCTTCCTGATGGAAGTGTCACACTTTTAAAGTAGCCGAACCTGGTCTACTAGCCCAAGCGAAAGATCGTCCTCGGAAGTGAGCGTATCGTTTTTCTGCGAGGTCCTATTTGCCTTTGGAAAAAAAGAAGTTCATTGGCTGTTGACTTCACTCATATTTTACCGTTTCACGTCTGCCATTTATCCCTCCTCCTACGCAGCTCGATAGCAGTTCTTGAGGAAGAGTGGAAAATATGCAGAAAATATCATTTTCTCACATTTTCTTCCTGGCGGAAGTGTCACACTTCTGAAGTAGCCAACCTGATGTATTAGCCCGAGGGAAGGACCGTCCTCGGAGTGAGCGTACCGTTTTTCTTCGAAGCATCCACAGACGTTGTGGCAGGGTGCGATATGGCCCATGCGGTGCCTTGCGGGTGACCCTTACTACACAGTCAGTGTTTTCATTCCGAGACAAGACTGATACAACTCACTGTTGCCGGAGCAGTGAAAGGCTTGTTTGGCCGGGGCTGGCTCCGTTCTGACGTGTGACTCCTGGCGTAAGATAAACAACGCCCATTGCCAGGGCACTTTGTACACTGGAGATCCTCAGCAAGGATCGTATTTGGTTTCTGGGGTGAAGAAGGGGTCCCATTTGCCTCTGAAAAAATGGAAGTTCATTGGCTGTTGACTTCATCAACTTTTCCCAAAGAACTGCTCAATAGCAGTTCTTGGGGAAAAGTTGAAAAAATTCAGAGAAAAAAAACCTGTGTTTGTTTTGCAACTTTTTCTCACGAAATTATTAATGAGTGCGGGCTTCCACGTCCTTTGTTTCTAGACGCTCGTGACTAGCACGAGCATTTTGTGTAGTCACAATTTTAATTCCTTTTTAGGCTGTCTGCACTGAAGCCGGCATGTTTGCACTTCGTGAGCGACGTATTCATGTTACCCAAGAAGATTTCGAAA